GCACCTTGTTGTCTCGGATTCTCCAGCATCTGCAGTTCCTACTATCTATAAAACCTATTCACTGCGTTCTGATTTACTCCAATGCTGCTCCTATACATTTAAACTTGACTGTACCTTGCATGCTTACTTTTGCATATATTCACAGAAAAAATCTAAATCCACATACATTCATATACAGAGATAGACAAAAATGTAAATACATTCCTATATACACATTGCACATGTACACAAGAACATATGTATTCACACAAGCACCATACATGTACAGGTATAACAAACACAAAGAGAAAGCAAAGGTCACAGGAGGAGATGGGTGGTATTAAAGGCAGCTACTCAGACAGAAGCTGAGAAGTGTTATTCCATAGGAATTTGTGCTGGGACCATTGCTGTTCACCATTTTTATAAATAACCTTGACTTTGGAACATGATGTAGATCAATTGTTTTACACAAGGTCTGATTAGCGAGCATGTTTAAATCAGAGGACTTTGATAAGATATACAAAGACATTAAAAACTTGCAATATAGGTCCATAACTGACAGCTGGATATAGATAGGGCAGTGATGTTATATATTGGTGTGAGGAATAAGGAGGCCACTTATATTTCCTACAGACTACGATGTGTTGAGGGGCAAAAGAAACAAGGATATGGATTTGATTTTGATTTTATTGTCACGTGTACCAAAATACAGTGAAAAGCTTTGTTTACAAGCAGTACAGGCAGATCACAGCTAGCAAAAGACGTGCAGATCAAAAAGACTTAGAGGCATACAGGTTACATTGCAGGTTATATTATTTCAGGCTAGAGTTTATTCAACAGTCTGATAACAGCCAGAAAGAAGCTGTTCCTGAACCTGCTTGTGTGTGTGTTCAGGCTTCTGTATCTTCTGCCTGATGGAAGAGGTTGTAGGAGATCATTACCGGGGTGCAATGGGTCTTTGATGATGTTGGCCACCTTTCCGCGGCAGCAAGCCGTGTAAATAGAGTCCATGGATGGAAGGTTGGCTTCCGTGATGGTCTGGGCTATGCACACAACGTTCTGTAGTTTCTTAAAGTCCTGGGCAGAGCAGTTGCCACACCAGGCTGTTATGTACCCAGATAGTATGCTTTCTATGGTGCATCTGGAGAAGTTGGTGAGGGACTTTATGGACATGCCAAGTTTCCTGAGCTGCTTGAGGAAGAAGAGGCGTTGTTGTGCCTTCTTGACTGTCGCATGTACGTGGGAAGTCCAGGATTCGCAAATCATAAACATTGGCAACACACATTAGCAAGCTCAGAAAAAAACGAACAAGGCATTGGGTTAATTTCTAAAGAAATGAAAATGAAAAGTTGAGAAGTTACATTAAAGTTAAATCAATCTTGTCTAGAGTACACTTCAAGTACAGTGTTCAGTTTTGGGCTGCATGTTATAAAAAGGATATCTTTCTTTCACGATGCAGAGGTGCAAAACAAATTACAAAGATGATAACAGAGCTTAAATTTATTTGGAAAAGTTGAACAGACTGGGATTTTTTTGTTTAGAAAATAGAAGTTTGGAGATGACCCAATAGAGGTCATTAGAATTGTGAAAGGGTTTGATAGCACAGATGTAGAAAATATATTTCCATTTGCGGAAAACCAAAACTGAGAGTGATAAATGTAGGGATAGTCAATAAATCCAAACAGCACTTCAGGAGAAAATTCTTTACTCGGAAGTGACTAGGGTATGATATCTGTGAGGTAATTGAAGAGAATAGGAACATAGAAACACGAGCAGGAGAGACTATTCGGTCCTTCGAGCCTGCTCTGTCATTCAATAGGATTGTGGCTGATTCTCTATCCCAGTGCCACATTCCCATTTGCTCCCCACACCCCTTGCTGCCCTCAAAATCTAAAAATGTATCTCTCTCTTTCTTGGTCTTCACAGCCTTCTGTCTTAGAGAATTCTACAGGTTCACAACTATTTGAGTGAAGAAATGTTTTCTCATCTTCAGTCCTACCCCCTATCCTAAGGCTGTGTCCCCTCGTTCTAGACTCCCCAACCAGGAAAAACATCCTTCCTGAATCTAGTCTGTCTAGCTGTTTTAGAATTTTACACACGTCAATCAGATCGCCTCTTGGTCCTTCTAAACTCTAGTCGATACAGGCCCACTCAACCCATTGTCTCCTCATTGGATAATCCTATCATCTCTGGTATCAGTCTAGTGAACCTCTGCTGCACTCCCTCTATGGCAAGTATATACTTTCCTGATAGGTAGACCAAAACTGCACATGGTACTCTAGGCATTGTCTCATGAAGGCTCTGTATAATTGCAATAAGACCATCTCCACTTCTGAACTCAAATCCTCTTGCATAATACTATTTGCCTTCCAAATTGCTTTCCGCATCTGCCTACCTACTTTCATTGGCTGGCGTACAAGGACACCCAAATCCTTTTGTATGTCCACACTTCCTAATATATCACCATTTAGATAACACTCTGCCTTTCTAGTTTTCACACAGAAATATATATATGTGTATTCACACTTAGCCACATTGTGCCATGTTTGCCATGTGTTTGCTCAATCACTCAACTTGCTGAAATCACCTTGAATTCTTTTTGCATTTTCCTCACAACACCCAATCTCACTTTTTTGTTGTCAGCAGGTATAGATATTATTAGAGCTGAAAGAATTGTGGATGCTGTAAATCAGAAACAAAAACAGAAATTGCTGGAAAAGCTCAGCATGTCTGGCTGCATCTGTGGAGAGAAGTCAGAGTTAATGTTTTGGGTCTAGTGACCTCTCCTCAGAATAGATATTATTAGAATTAGAATCAGGTTTTATTGTCATGTGTACTCAAGTACTGGTCTGCAGGAGTACCGTAAAAAATTTAAAATGTCGCCATTCATGGTGTCATCTTAGGTACAAGGTATCTAGG